AGACCTGCCTCTATAGGTCCTGTGAGTTCCTTTGGTATTCTACAATGTTCTCTCTTTGGGGATCAGCAGGCTCACAGTAGCACCCCTATGAATGAACCTGAAATGGGTCTGTATTTTGTGTGGCCTCCTGTAGAAGCCAACAGGTATTTCCTGATAACCTCTACCACTGCCCATCATTTGGCTTGCCATATACTGACACCCTTCTTTTTTTTTTTGAGACGGAGTTTCGCTTATTACCCAGGCTGGAGTGCAATGGCGCTATCTCGGCTCACCGCAACCTCCGCATCCTGGGTTCAGGCAAATCTCCTGCCTCAGCCTCCTGAGTAGCTGGGATTACAGGCACGCGCCACCATGCCCAGCTAATGTTTTGGGAGAGACAGAGTTTCACCATGTTGACCAGGATGGTCTCGATCTCTTGACCTCGTGATCCACCCGCCTCCGCCTCCCAAAGTGCTGGGATTACAGGCTTGAGCCACCGCGTCCGGCCCTGACATCCTTCTTTTAACTGCAAATTGGGAATGGACTTACCTATAGTCCTACTACTACAAAGAACAGTTTGAAATGCAATGCCCCAAAGTAGAAATGGCCCAAGTAAGATGTGCACCAGTGCTGACAGGCTGTGTTATTCAGGGGTCTTCTGACCTGGTGATCCACCCGCCTTGACCTCCCAAAGTGCTAGGATTACAAGTGTGAGCCACCGTGCCCGGCCCCACATTTTCAATTATACTACACATAGCATTTTGTCTTGTATTTTCCCCTACAGCCAGTCATCAATTCTAAGGGTCCAGACAGTTATGTCAATCTCTTGGACATAATTTTCAACTGCCATGTATAGTGTTGCAATGAATGTGCCATTTGCTGCTTTGCTAATGGGGATGAATGTAACTCATAAGGTTTTTGTGAGGATTAAATGAGTTAAATTAAAAGAAAATATAACAAGTACTTAGCACACTATTTGACGTAATTACTTAATCAACAGTAGCTTTTGTTAATATCATAGCTTAGCTTAGCTGTTTGCTTCTGCTGAATTATTTCCCTAGAATTAATCTTGGAGGTGGGCCTATTAGTTAAAAGGAATTGAAGTCCTTTAATTTTTAATTTCCTATTAAGTTTATTTAGTAAGGGCTGGGTGCAGGCTCAAGCCTATAATCCCAGCACTTTGGGAGGCCGAGGCGGGCGGATCATGAGGTCAGGAGATCGAGAACATCCTGGCCATGGTGGAACCTCGTCTCTACTTAAACACAAAGAATTAGCCAGGCATGGTGGCACACGCCTGTAGTCCTAGCTACTCTGGAGACTGAGGGGGGAAATTGCTTAAACCCAGGAGATGGAGGTTACAGTGAGTTGAGATCACGCCACTGCACTCCAGCCTGGGTGACAGAGCAAGACTCCGTCTTAAAAAAAAAAAAATTATTTAATAGGAATTTATTAGGAATTTAATTTTCTTAAAATGTAAATTATGTCAATTTAAGGAGGAATTCATTGTAACATAGCATAAATGCTGTCATTTTAAAATTTCCTTAGACATTTTTAATTTTAAAATTTCTTTAGATTATACATGGCTTTAGGTCCAAAGAATAATAAATTTATGTATTTAAAATATGGCCCCCACTCCCGTAAAGCCATGCTGTTTTCCAAAACACTTGCCATCAATTTTATTCCTATTGTGTATGCTTTTAATCATTGCCTTGCCAACAGTGCTATCAATTACTTTTTTCTTGCTAGTCTAGTATGCATAAAACCTCAAGTATGCTTCAAGCTTAAATTCGTATTTTTTCCCTGTAAGTATTCTGTGCAAACATTTTTTATATGTTTAGAGTCGGTATTCCTTTACTGGAAAAATTTCTGTTCATATCTGTCATCAGTTTATTTCCTAGTTTTCTTTATAAAATTAAATTAGCTATTTAATTTTTTTTTTTTTTTTGAGATGGAGTTTTGCTCTTGTTGCCTAGGCTGGAGTGCAGTGGTACAATTTTGGCTCACTACAACTTTTGCCTCCCGGGTTCAAGCAATTCTCCTGCCTCAGCCTCCTGAGTAGCTGGGATTACAGGCGCCCACCACCACTCCCATCTAATTTTTGTATTTTTAGTAGAGACAGGGTTTCACCAAGTTGGTCAGGCTGGTCTCAAACTTCTGATCTCAAGTAATCGCCTGCCTTGGCCTCCCAAAGTGCTGGGATTACAGGTGTGAGCCACTGTGCCCAGCCTGATGAACTATTTACTTGATTCAGTTCCACTGATCATTGGTTTACTTTACACATTTTATAAGTCATGAATTAGTCTGGAATGTTCTGGTGAAAAAAATGTGACTATGGACATCATACACAAATTGCTATCCAATTACACTAGCACTGGCTGCGCACGGTGACTCACACCTGTAATCCCAGCACTTTGGGAGGCTGAGGCAGGTGGATCACCTGGGTCAGGAGTTCAATACCAGCCTGGCCAACATGGTGAAACCCCATCTCTACTAAAAATACCAAATTAGCTGGGCGTAGTGGCTTATGCCTGTGATCCTAGCTACTTGGGAGGCTAAGGCATGAGAACCGCTGGAACTCAGGAGGCGGATGTTGCAGTGAGGTGAGATCGTGCCACTGCACTCCAGCCTGAGTAAAAAGGGCGAGACTCCATCTCAGAAAAAAACAAATACAAAACCCACAAAACAAAAACAACAACAACAATATGCTAGCACCATTTGCTTGCTGGTTGTGGATTCATTTTGAATTATAATTGAATTTTTTTAAGTTTTAAAAATTATTGAGATGAGTTCTATAAAAATGTTTATCAAGAGAGGGCACACTGGCTCATGCCTGTAATCCCAGCACTTTGGGAGGTTGAGGCAGGCGGATCACTTGAAGCCAGGAGTTCGCAACCAGCCTAGCTGACATGGTGAAACCCCATCTCTACTAAAAATGCAAAAATTAGTTGGGTGTGGTGGCTCATGCCTGTAATCCCAACTACTTGAGAGGCTAAGGCAGAACAATCTCTTGAACCCGGGAGGCAGAGGTTGCAGTGAGCTGAGATCATGCCACTGCACTCTAGCCTGGGCCACAGGGTGAGACTTCCACTGGGGAAAAAAGGGGGAGGGGGAGGGGGGACACCTTATGTTGAGAATTCTCTACTTTTTTTAGAGAGCGTTGTGCTCTGTTGCCCAAGCCAGAGGGCAGTGACTTGATCATAGCTCACTGCAATCTCTAATTCCTGAGTTCAAGTGATCCTCCTGCCTCAACCTCCCCAGTGGCTAGGACTACAAGCAGGTACCACCATGCCCAGCTAATTTCCTTTTCCTTTTTGTAGTGACAAGGTCTTGCTTTGTTGCCCAGGCTGGTCTCAAGCGACCCTCCTGCCTCAGCCTCCCAAAGCACTGGGATTACAGAATTAATTTTCTTTCAGTCCTCTCTTTCCTTCGTCTTTTTTTTTGGAGATAGGATCTCACTCTGTCGCCTAGGCTGAAATGCCACTGCGCACAGTCACGGCTCAATGTAGCGTTGACCTCCCCAGCCTCAGGTGATCCTCCCGTCTGGGCCTCCCAACGTGCTGGGATCACAGGCATCAGCTGCGATGCCCAGCCTCAGAAGAATTTTCTATTTCTATGGTTTTGGTGCATGTAGTAAAACTTTTTAAAAAAGTGAGTGCAAATCAATTTAGCAAATGTAATGTAGTAAAGAAAAGCACTGGATTAAATGTGAGAAGACTTGCAATATAGACCTAAATCTACCTCAAACTTGATACGCTAACCAGGACTAGTCCTTTAACCTCTCTTTGATCAGTTTTCCTACTTGCTCTGCCTCTACTTTGCTCCAGTAATTCCCGTCTCAGTCAGGGTGAAAGGCAACGTCCCTACAAATACCTAGACAGTCTAGCAGGCATCCTCCCCTCAAATTCCTTACTGCTCTCCTCTAGCTCACTGGGCTCCGGGCACCTTGCAAGGAGCAGGGAAACTCGGCTTGGGGCCTCTTTACTTTCAAGTTCTCTGCCTGTAAGTCCTCTCAGTATCTGCAATGCCCTGCCATTCATCTGCAAGTCTTCACTCTAATGTCATTTTCTCAGTGACACTCTCACTGAAGTGACACCACTCTTCCTGCTTTATCTCCCCCCCCCTTACATCCCTTATCACCATCTGACACTGAATTGACTCGTTTACTGTTTTTCTCCACCTGCATGTTAGGTCCTCACTGCTGTATCCACAGAATCTAAAAAAAAAAAAAATACCTGGAACATAGTAGGAACGTAGTACACACATATTGGATGAATAGACAAATCTGTAAAATGAAGCCGTCACGCCGGATGGATCATCTATCCCCTTAAGATGAAGCTGTGTGCTGCTATTGGGCCCAGTCTCCTGGCATTACCGTCCTGAGAATCCCAGCAGCCACCTTCAGGGGCGTACTCACTTTGCAGGAGGCCGCAGCGGCGGCTTCAGGTTCTCCCTCCTCGTGGACAAGGTCTAACAGCTGAAAGCCCGAGTCCCCGGAGACTTCTGGGTTCCCTGACGTGTACTCGGACTCCTGGCCCCTCGAGGTGGTCCCCGAGGATCGGCGGCTGGAGACCACCCGGTAGCGGCCTTCCTGCCTGATCTCTCGGGCTGAGGCGCGGAGATTGCGGCGGACACGTTGCTGGCTGTCCCGTGACGGGCGCAGAGCTGCCCGCAGGAGCGGCTGGACTGGCTCCTCCTAGGGGGTAACAGGGAAGGGAGGTCGGCATAAGCAGGGGTTCGTGATCGAGTCAGGGATCGGGCTGGCTGCACCCTAAGATGCCCCACCAGCTGCACCACGCGTAATACCTGGGAGCATACAGTGGCCACCAATTGGAAGACATTATTCTCGGCTGCTCTGTCCAGACCCTGTGGCGTCTTCTGGGCCGCCGACTCGACCGCGTCGCTCCGGAGGCGTTTACAGGCGAGCACAAGAGCCTCGGCCGGCTCCGCACTGCGCTTCCGCTTCACTCGGAGCACAGCCGTCCTGCCGGCCTCCATAGTGACTGCCGCGGAGCATTGTGGGAACCGCGGCGCGGGGTGCGATGGGATAGCTTTCCAGTTCCGCCTTGGGACCCGTACCGCGCACAGTCCTCGCGCGCAGCCGGGATACCGCTTCGTGCGCTGGCCGCGGCAAAATGGTGATAGCAGCGGAGGCGAACGGAGGAGTTTCCGCAGCGGGTGAGGCGCTAGATGTGCTGGAAGGTGGAGTCGCTTTGGAGTTCGGGGTGCAGCCAGCATCGTGTCCTCAGCACCAGGGCTTCGGCAGAGGAACCTGGCGTGGGCGTACTTGGACTCTGGGGACTTTTCTAGAGTCCGAGTGGGGAGACTCGGAGCACCATGACTTGCAGGAGAACGGGGTTCCAGGCTGACCCCCGGCTCTGCAGTCCAGTTGGGTGCTTGCCGCCTGCGGGGCTGGGTCGCAGTACTTGTGCCTGGCGCCTCCTCTCAGCCAGGAACCGCAGTAGCTCCAAGCTAACTGGGCCATGGTTCTGATTGACCGACCTGCTGATATCTTTCCCACTCACTGTGTTCTGAGTAATTGGAGAATCGTGTATTCACTACACGCCAGCTAGAGTGGTCCTGTAAAAGCGTACACCCAGTGTAGATATGCTTCTGCTTAAAATCCTTGAGTGGCTCCCACTGCTTTTAGAACAAAATCCTAACGCCTTTCGGAAGTCGACAAGGCCCAGCTTGATTGAGCAGAAGATGTGATAGGAGATGAGGAGTGGGCTTCTGCAAAAGTGCTTCAGTCGCACAAGCTTTTGGCACATTTTGCTTATGCACCTAGCTCTTTCTACCTTAGGGCTTTCTCTTGGGAAAGTTGGGGTAAGGATTCCTGACGTGTAAAACCTCTTCCCCAACTTTTATGCTGGTCTGTCTTGTAGGTCTCAAATGCTGCCTTCCTCAGAGAGTTCTTCTGTAACCTTGGTGTTCACTCTCTACGGCGCTCTGTGTATTTGTTGCATTCACGTAGTCTGTAATTTGTGTTACTCTGTCATTAGAGTCTAAGCTCTCTAGTTTGTGGTGGTGGCTCCGGTCCCTAATATAGTGCCTGGCACAGTGAAGGTATTTAATAAATTTAGTTATTTTTTCCAGACAGACTCTCTCACTTTGCTGCCTAGGCTGAGTGCAGTGGTGTGATCAAGTCTCACTGCAGCCTTGACCTCCTGGGTTCAAGCGATCCTCTCACCTCAGCCTCCCGAGTGCTGAGACTACAAGCACGCACCACTACACTCGGCTAATTATTAATTTTAATATATGCATAGTTAATTTTAATATATGCGTGTGTGTGTGTGTGTGTGTATGTGTGTGTATATATATATATAT